ATATTTTGTGAGCTTATATATGTTACTTTATATCCTGTGAGCCGTTAGGCTAATCAATTACATATCATATTAATTCACCATTATATATTTAAGTTGAATAGGAAGTGTTTAACTTGTGTAAATCCAAGTTGGGTCATTGTTATTTCTTTGTATTCAAATAAAAGGATCTTATACACCCTTCTTATGACTTTGTGGCTCTGTATTCAGAAGACCAGAAGATAATTCTTCTAGAGTCTTTTAAAAGTCTGCAGTTTATGCTCCCAAAGAACAGCAAACTTTATAAAGCATTGGCACTTTAAGGAATTTGTGTATGATTTTTAACTACGAATTAGATGACGCTGTAACACTTTGTAATTTTCCACATTTTATTTCGCTTCATTATAAATTAGATTTGAGATCATCCCCAGTTATTCTCTAGTGGGCCTGCAATCTCTTTTATTTAATCCGACATGCACTTTTCTAGAGTTAGGAGTAGTATGCATATTCTAAAACTGTTCATTCCCAGTAAAAAGGAATGCAAGCTCACTTTATTTTAGGAACTTAACTACGGCATAATAAAGAAAAAAAGATTCATAAGAAATCACTAGTGAAAACTAAACAAGAATTAATTAAGATATGGATTAGGATCAAAAGAATCTATTCTAATTGAGATTCAGAAAGAAGTAATGGATAATAGAACTATTGATAAATAAAATACTCTTGGATAATAAATTTAATTCTATTACACTATAAATATATGCTATGGGCATTTTAGTTTTATTCCGTTATTTTATACCTTTAAAATGAATGTTTTCGCCTGTAACAATATTAAAGGTTCAATTCTTAACCACTGACACTATTTTAGAAGTTGTTACTTAACTATTTTTCATTAATAATTCATCAGTCAATCTATCTACGTGTTTATAAATAATTTTTCCGTCTTTGTTTTACTTTTATATCCATATATATAGGAGATAATATAATCAATTAATCAATATTGTTTAGGATATATATATATATTCAATTTAAGAATGTTCTTGCTGTATATCTTTTATTAATGTTTCTATGAACAAAAACTTTATTATATTATTAATAGTATATAAGTTATAAGGTAATGTGTTATATTATGTTGACATTTACATATATACTTAACTTTTGTGGGCATTTGCATATGTATTATATTTAAGACATAGTTTACTTCGGTCCATGAAAACAGTGCATTCTTATTTCTCTGATAGGCTACTATCACGGCTAAGTTAACACCTTTAAGGTCCCTATACACTTAAAAGGTTTTGGTGTCCCTAGATATATTTATGCCTGTTTTTTCTATATTCCTTCTCTCTCAAGCTTGGTTAGCTGCACCATACATTTCATAGGAAAATCGGCAGTGGTAAACTTTTGCGGGTGCCTCCTTTCCTGAATTCCTAAACACCTTTTTTGTGCAACCACTTTCGTTGACGCCCTAAGCATAAGCTTATTTTGCGTAATGGCTAATACTGCTCTGGCTACTATAAACCGCTGATCTATCTGAATAAAACAACACGCTTAAATACATTCTTTTAAAGAGATTTCTCATATAAAATATTACTGTTTCTGCAAATCGCTTATCTTCTTAGAAATATTTCCTCCACTTAATAAAAGTTGCCATAATAGCTTTCATTTTTATCACATTTTTCAACAAATACAATAACTAATTTTGCAATAACGTAATAAAACGACATTTTATTTTTATTTTTGCTCTCTAGACTTGCAATCGGATTTAATTAATAATTCCTCTTATGTATTTAATTTCATGTTTAATATTATTAATGCAAATAAATATTAACATGGAGATGAATGTAGAGAAACTATTTTACAATTTAGTTATAAATTATAGTTATTCAAGCAAACGTATTCACATTTCTGAAGGAGATAAATGCACAGAGTTCAAGAAGATATTTATAGACTTGAGTTAAATAACTGAAAACCAATTTAAATGAAATTAATATTCCTTTAAAAAAACGGTTAAAACCTAACGTACCTAACGATACCTAACGTCCTATTTTAGAGAAAGAATTTATTTATTTAAACATTTTAATGAACCTAATTTTTAAAATACTCTTAAAATTTAATTCTAAACTATTAAATCTTTTAGACTAAGAAATTATTTTAAGATGCATGGCTATTAATTTTGAGATAATTCTGACCTCGATTTTTAACACTCATGTAAAATGCATTCTTTCTGATAGATCCTCATTTTCTATAATAGAACATTTATTAAAAATCTGATCATTTACTAAAGGATTAAATCCGACAACACTGCTATTTCCTTTCTAGTTCGATACTAGTACCAAACTTAGATCCCAAATCATTGTTGCAGCCATAGTGGTATAACAGTTGAGTTCATAAGCTGTGGTAATGCACTAAAAACAGTATAATGGATTTATACTGTTGTAGATTATGTACTTATTTAAAACTTTCCATATATATGCCGTATTATTTATAATAATTTTAAAGTCATGCAGGGATAATATTAATTTTCTTGGTCTATATGTCACCACTTCACTCAAATTTATGTGATATAAGTAGACATTTAAATGGGGCGACAGCTAAACCTGCATTTTCTCTCTTTGACAGAATTAAAGATATTCAAGAGATCTCTTGGAAAGTCTCCAAAGAAGCTTCAAGATGGGCTCTTGATGAATCACCGGGTGACGTCCCCAAAGGTAAAAATATTCAGTTCTCTTTAAGTTTTGAGATTTAAGAGTCTCATTTCTCGTCGGAGCGAAAGAGAATGTCTGAATTTATTGTTGGACTCACTTCGTAGACTCGATGAAGCGAATCAGGATAGACAACATACTCAATAAATCTATGCGAAACAGCAGCAAAAATAAAGTACAACAAAAATAGGCCAAATACTTAACTACAGAAGTGCGCATCTAGAATTGTCTTCTTCGTTTTCCTTTAATTTAAAACTTATCCAATGGCTTCTGTTTCAGTACATTTTCGCACAATTCAAACAATTTAAAGAAGAAAGATTTCTTTTTCAGGAAAAATCCCTTTATATATCAATCATAAAATCATTTTATAATTCTGCAGCTCAAAATCGTGAGAGAAATAATTACAGATTCCTAAATCTTTGTGAGCACAGTATTACTATGAGGCTCACATTTATTCATATAAATATGAATAAAAATAAGAATGCTCTATCCTAGTGGGAGAGTGATCCAATAAAATAAATGCTTAACTATATACTGAGTAATTATTACATGACTGAACACAGCTATATCTTGAATAATTATTATATAACTGAAAACAGCTATGTCTTAAATAATTATTTCATAACTTTTCCTTATTACATAACTGAACATAGCTATGTCTTGAAAAATTATTATATAACTTTTTTATTACATAACTGCACATAGCTCTGTCTCGAATAATTATTACATAACTTTTCTTTATTACATAACTAAGCAAATGTCTACAAGAGTCTAATTTGCAATGAAATAGGAAGATAATAATTTTTTTTCTGCCATTTCTTTTGTGTTCAAATTACATGAAATTGGGGCTGTCACCTCCGGCTGGTAGATTGTAATAATCTTTTGCATATACTCAAATATTGTCTTTAAATTATATAACTAATTTTATTTCGCCATTTTAAACAGCTCACTTTAAGAACTATTTATTTATTTTTTTATTCTGAAATTTTAATCAGTTAATTTTAATTATAAGAATTGGCCTTCTGTACCTTTAATTTCTGAATAATTATTCCTTCTGCTAGGCCCCCTACGTAGCATAAAATTATTTCAGATGTTAAACAAAATTTACATGCCAAGAATAGATTGTAGTACTGTTACCGTAATCTTTTGATCTCTATATCTAGATAAGTTTTTTTTCATTTGACTTTTAATGCAAATTCTTTAGATGTTGAACTGTAATAGCAAAGCTTTCCGATTAGAAATTTTTATTATTATTATTTATTTAGGTAGCTTGAGTGAACTAATCAGTAACACAAAGCTTGAAATTCTGTGAGTTCGATAACAACTTACGTAAACCGAAAATCAAATTTACGTGTTTTCTATGCATTTAATGTAAAATAAACATGAAGTAAGTAAAAATTTCAAGAAGCAAATAAAAGATACAATTTAGCCTGTAACTCGTTATTTCTTCTCGGTTGAATAAAAATAAACCAGGAACAGCATAAATAAAGTAAGACAAAGCATTGTTATTTATTTATTGCGTAGCTTTTTTGAGCTTCGTCGTAAAAGATCTTCTGCAAACAGAGTACACATCTGCTTACAGTTACGTCATTCTGATGCGCCTTTATTTACTTATTGTTTCATTCTCCAAAAAACAACCAACTTCAGATAATTTCGGTATTAAATTTTAATTTGTATTACAAATTTCACTTTTTAATAATGTTTTTGGATAAATTATATGTCATCTACTGCAGTGAAGTTTAAAAAACGGAACAACTAAATTTCCCATTATTCAAAATTAAAAGTAGAATTTGCTTTGTAATCTAAGATTTGTACTGATAAATACTTGTTTTAAGTATTCTGTTGACAAACTTCTCCCAGTATGTAGTCTGAATCATCAGTAGTAATGTAAAATTTATGCACAATTAAGAAAACATTTCATGTAAGTGAAAAGGATATTATCGAAAACCATAGTTCTTTCGAAACACGTAAAATGTAATAATTATAATGTGTTATGTGTATTTTTAATGTGCTAAACCCCATAATTTTCTCATCGTGGTTCTCAAGTTTTAAAATTATTGGTTAAAGGGTAGAAATGCTTGAGTAAATACAATGTTTGGGCTTTTCAAGAAAACAAAATGAATGTCAAGAGCTAATGTAATGTAATTAATAATTTTATATTTCACCTTAGTACGTTACCCATATCCGTTAAAATCTATTACTTTAATTAAATTAATTAATTCCATGAGGAACAAAAAGCACAATTGTTTCCAGTCAAATATAATCATTTAGTTTTAATATTCGATATAACAATACAACCTTTTTTGATTTTTTAAGAATGTCTTTATCTATTAATTAAATATTTATTTCATTAAATAATATTTTTTAAGTTTGAAATAGATGTGATGGAATTTTTGTTGTTTTATGGTAAGTGACAGCTAATTTTATACTTTACTTTTTTGTATATATTAAAAAATTACTTTATAATCTGTTAATACAAACATTTTTATTGACTTTACATTCAGTTTCAATTAATTTAAATCATTATCCGATATCATTTAAACTGATGCAATTGCACAGATATTATTACTGTTGTTCCTAAACACGAATTTTTAAATGTGCTCAAATTCATGACTAATCATAGGAGAACATGGATACTATCCCTTGTTAGTCGCAAATTTCGAGCACCACTGACTTTGTCCGACTTCATGCTAATTTTTATCGAGAATTTCCAATGATACAATTCAAGTATCTTGCAATATTTGCAACCTACTCGAAAGATTTAGAGTAGACATTTTAAATATTTACATTGCATATCGCAGCCACACATTTCTATGCCTTTTTAGGTATTTTTGCCACCAACATTCGCAATGGAATGACTTCCTTATTAAAAGATTTGGACCGCAGATTATTACTCCCGCCTTCTTAGCATGCCCTTCGTGGTGTAGTGGTCAGCACACTCGGTGCGTTACGAGAGATGCGTGTTTCAAGTCCCGGCGAGGGCATTCCTCATTTCTTCAACTTCCGGAATTCAAAAAATACCTAATGTCTCTATGGTGGCGCTCGAATTAAAAGAAGGTAGTGGACGATGATTCTCCCCCACCAGGATTTGGCGGCTGGTTCCCCTAATCCCCAGGTCGCCCTTTAAAATTGGGAGTATATAAAGTATTTCTTCCTCCTTCTTAGCATGCTTTCGTCGTGTAGTGGTCAGCACACTCAGCGCGTATCGAGAGGTCCGTGGTTCGAGTCCCGGCGAAGGCATTGCTCAACTTCTTGATTTCAGAAAATACCTAATGTCTCTACAACCTCATAAATGACAAAATGTCATAAATAGAAAAAATATCTTTTTAAATTGCATATACTATTAAATTCTTCAAATTTTAGTGTGCATAGCAATAATCGGCTGGCATCCGAACAGTTTACAATAACAATGCTTTTCCAGTCGTCGTAAATTTAATTTTGTGCATTTATTGGACAGTATACTTCTATTACAAAGCAATTAATACTTATTTCTAATTTAAAGTGTATTAGTTATATATAACTTTAGCGTTCATACTCATCTTTATTACGAATAAAAAATGCCTTGCTTGGCTTTTCTTAGTACCTTTCAAGATTCCCTATCGTTTAGCGATTTACAAATGTAGACTGAAAAAGGAATCGAAACAATCCAACAATTCTAAATCATTATGCAAGTTTAATTAAATAAAAACAAATTAAACGCATTTTAATTTGAACTTAAGTGTTACTAAGTTTTGTTAACAAAGAACATACCAAACTGACAATTACTGAAAATCAAAAACTTAGTTTAAAAAGGCATTGTGCGATCTGCGCTACTGGTAGCGTTTTCTACCAATATCCGAAATTTATCGTGTAACAGCATAACAGAGAAATTTAGGTAACCGCTCGTGACAACAACTAAAGTTAACTAAATTCTGAGACAGGCCAGTTCGGTTTTCTCTTTTAAAAGGTGGAGTACATTGTGTATTTTCTCTCTCCTCTCTGCATACCTTCGTGGTGTAACAGTTAGTAGAGTCAGTGCGTATTCGAGAAGCCTAGGTTCGAGTCCCGGCGACGGCATTGCTTATTTTTCATGTATGCTGCTTCAAAATATCGTAATGTCTCAAATACAGCTTACTAAAATTGCCCACAAACAGCTTTTCGTGGTGAAGTTACCGCACTGGACAGTCAGTCATACTCGTTTTCCTTTTTAATGAAATTTTTTCCTGCGACTTTATTGAAAATTTGCGCATTATTGCAGAATGTAAACATTTTGCTATTTAAAAATTTAAAAAGCAAATTTAAGAAATATTCCATTTGAAAACTAATTTAATCTTGTCTTTACTCAGTATATGCAAGATCAGTGCTTGGTAAAGCGACTCGTTGGTAAAGAATAAAGTAGATCAAGCATTTTGTTTTCTAAAATGATTATTTCCAACTTCAGTAAACAAAGCAACAAAATTCGAAATTCTCAACTATTAAAAATACAATAATTTTCATCAGCAAAGGAGCGACAGAATTTTCTTTGAATTTATAAAGAAATAGTACTAGCTGAATTGGCTTCATATGAATATCAGTAGAAGATGGAAGTATCTACTTCCTTTTGCTTCAGGCGACGGAATATAAAATGTGCTCAGTTTATGCGCATTTCAACTTTCCTTTAAATGCAGAAGAGATGTATTCATGACAGTTTTCGAAAGTGACTATCATAATTCTTGGCTGGTCGCATGGTCTCTATAACATTGCTCCCGTTAAGTTAAATTTCTATTTTGAATAATCCATTATTTAGTTTATAATTATAATAAATTTATTCTACGAATATTTATAAACATTTAAATGTTTTATTTAAGCAATAATTACATTTCACATCATTTGCATAAAAAAAAAAAAAAAAAAAAATCTGAAGGCTTTCAGATTTTATATTACGCTCAAAGGGGTGTTTTTCTTTCTTTTACATACACGTTTCAAGAGCATTTGGGCTAATGTTCCTTTGGGTTAAAAATATTTAAAGTCATCTTTAGAATTTCCGA